ACCTATCCACGCTTAAATTGGCTGAAATGCACGCTGCCAGGCCAAATTCATGTGGTCTCCACTTGAAATTAAATGGGAAATGATGAATTGATGGTCCTTGACTAGTTCCACCGGGGATTTAGGAATGTCCTAAAATTAATTGTATATAAATTAATTGTTTATTGACTTTTAGGATGAAAGTCTAAAATTTTATGATAGTTTATTTGAGAGTGCTTTATGACCCTAGCATGATTTCAAATGGCACCAAATGAATGTATGATTTCAGATGGACCATGGCACAAAATCTTATTCATATTTATTTCTCAATGTTTAGTGGCCCTAATAGGATTTCAATAGTAAATGTTTAGTGGCCCTAATAGGATTTCAATAGAAATAAATGAGTATCATGTAGAAAGTTTAGAGGGGATGAATATTTACCACATCATCAAGTGCAAGCCTGAGAAGAGCAGGTTGCCTCCGATTATCACCTCCCACGCCATCAATATCAGTAATCCCATTAATGAACTCTTCCTGTGTGACTGCATGCCTTGAATGAAGAGAGGCAACAGATTTTGAGGCCTTCATTACTTCTTGGTACCTCTCAGGAGAGATCCCAACCTTTCCAATTATCTCTTCTTCGGTTGGCTCTCTTTGAAGCTCAAACAACAACTCAAGTTTGGCTCTCTGGATTTCCACTCTAACCTGCACAAGTTATAAATGTAATAAGTTATCATATCATATGTCCGTCTTCAATGGAAGCACCTCCCATGGCTCACAGAAACCTGCTTATAAGGTCTCCAATATTTGTTTTAACTTTCTAATAGTATTTTTGTCCAACACTCAAAATGTGACTGAATGAACAACAAATAGTGAATGTGTTGTTCCTCCACCAGTGACCAGTGACTTATCCATGCCTAAATCTGTTCAAAACAACAAAGTCTAGATGTTTCATATTACTTAAAAAGGTTTTCAAATATGAACTTCACTGCCCAGTCAGGCAACTACTTGTCCTTTCAATGATGTTAACCATCATGCTATTTGAAGATAAAAATAGAATAATGTAAAATGCTTATATATATATATATGTATATATAAGGAAAAAGGCATACCGACTCAAGGCCAAATGGGACACGTGTGAAGTTTGAGAGTGTCATTGAACGTATAATTGCATGCCTGATCCAAAAAAGGCTGTAAGTGGAGAGACGGAATTTCCTTTTTGGTTCAAAGCGGTCAATGGCTGTAATAAGTCCTTTGACTCCTGCCTGACAAAGATCTTGGAATTTTGGGCCATTTGCAAAATCTTGAAAATATTTGTTGATCACAAACAGAACAAGCCGGAGATTGTGCTGCAATGTGTACAAGAATACCTTTCTTAATCATTCAAGTGTTGAGGAAAAAACCCTTTTGCATAAGAGCTGCCTAAAATACAGTCTTGAGTTTTAGGGATCGTGATGTACTTACTTTAATAAGCTTGTTTCTGGCAGCTTGACCAACCTCAATGTGTTTTCTTACTTCAACTGCTGTCATCTTTGTTGCTTCAGCTAATTCACCTTCGGTTGGATCTCTACCCAAAGCCTCTTGCAAATTTTCTTTTGCTTGAAGCAGAACCTGCAACATTTGCAAAGATAAGCATAATTGCAGGAGACTACCTACTGAAATTGTAAATATCCAAGTTCTAAAATTTTCTAAGTCATAAAGACACACACCTTTAAAGGTTGCATTAGCTTGAACAGCCAAACATGTTCGCTAGAAGGAAGAACTGGAGGTATCTTCATCTTTTTCCAGTCCAAGCTAACCAGATCGGTTGAAGCGGAATAATCCCTGACAAGCCTATCAATTTTCTCATTTTCACTCTGACTATCTTTCTTCTTTCTAAAAGAAGCAACTATATTTGCCTCTTTATTATTTTTCAAAGCAATCCTTTTATCAAGACTCAGCCTTTTTGTCCTTTTAGTCCGATTCCTAACCACAGTTTGATTACTGGCACTGTCAGCTTTCCCATTACCTTCTTCGCTGCTCTTTCTCCTTCGCATGCTTTTCCTGATCAGGCCTTCTACATCTTCTAAATCAGATGCTTTAGTGGAAGGGCTAAGGTTGAATATATTCTCAAGCTTGACAGCAGCTTCATTGTAATCCAGTTCCAAGGAACATGTCAGAGCCTCATCAATACGGACACCACTTATGCTCTTCGAAGTTTTTTTAGCTTTCCCTCGTCTCTTTGGGTGCTCCTTAGATTTCTCTAAAGGTAATAGAATTTGCTCTGTCGGCGCAACCAAAGCTGTGCTATTTGATTTATCACTTTTAAATGCCACAATCAAAGGCCTCCCTGATGCAGTTCTTTGATTCGAAAACTTTCCACTCAATCCTAATGGACTCCGGGCAGCTGAGCTAGAAATGGTCACAACTCCCATGCCAAGTTATCCAAGCAAAAAATTTAGGTGGTATATGGGAGCTTCCCAACTAGACAAACACTGCAACAATGAATAATTCTCATATTAATTACATAAAAATAAATTAAAAAAAAAAAACGAGACACTCAAAGCACACAAACACAACATATTCCAATGTCCTCAAAGATAATTAACTGAAATTTTTGCTGCTAATACCAGCAAAAGTAGGAATTCAAGTTTCCTCAATAAAACATCATAGATTTAACATCACCGTGCGGAAATCATTAAAAGAGTCCATGAACAAAGTTATATCATGGAAATTGAATAAACAAAAAATTGTTGTGCGATCCAGACTGTACCAGACTGCACAACATGGATGGTTGGATGAGGGGAAGGCCCAACTATCCTGTTTTGCAGTCTGGTGTAGTCCAGCCAGACTGCAAAACAGGGTACTCATGAATAAATTGAAACAGATTAATGCTTCAAAAATCAGCCATAAGGGGGTTCTCCGACTTGAACCGATTCAGAAATCGGCAGCTCCAAAACAACTCTTAACAACAGCAGAAGCTCATGAACTGATGGACATGTAAATCAGTGTCCAAGAGCGCCAGAAATCAGTAATAACTTAAACATACAGAGCATCGCGAGTAATTTTCCGAGAAACGGAAAGAAGATTACCAATACAGAGCGAGGGAGAGACCGGATTCCGAGTTGATCTGGGATCGCCGGAGGGAATTTGAGACGAAAAATGCAGAGATGGCTCAATGGTGGAAGATTTCGGGGTTTTAATATGAGAATCATAATAAATATGTAAATTATGGTGTCCACAAATTATACATGTGGAAAAATCGACGGCTCTAAGAGGTGGAGGGGTGAATCCGACGGTGAAGAAAGTGACAAGTAAGAGTCGTCGGGATGTGGGCACAGGGGTGTTGTGGTGACGTGGCGAGTGATGAAGCGGGAATTAGGTGTTGCGTGGCGAGTTAAGAGTGGAAGGGGAGATATTTCAGTGGATTTTGTGGATGATGTTTTTTACACGTGGGTGGTTGTAATTGGGAGACAGATGTCACTATCGTTTGTAGGGCCCAGTTCGTGTGGTGTCCTGGCAATCGAGCATTGTTACTACGTTGCCTAATTACAGCCGTTTGAAAAATGAAATTGTCATAATAAAATGTTCTTCACGAATTTTCCCCCAAATGGGGGATTTTTTTTTTAAAGACAAATAAATAAACATTATTCGCCGTATCCAACCCTAATTGTCTCAAATTAATTTTTTAATTATTTAGATATAAATCTCATATTAAAAATTTTAGAAATATGAAAATTAAAATATTTTAACGCCCAAGACGTCTATCATAGATATTTGTTGAGTGCAACCTATCTTTGGACCCATTCAATGAATGACTGTAATAAACATCCTGAATGTCAGGACATCTTGATTTTCTGTGCTTTTTAAAAATTTAACAAAAAATATATTGTACTTATTTTATCAACAACCAAGCATATCAATGATAATTTAGATTTTTTTAAAAGGAAATTTTGGTAAAGAAACCTAATTAAATAAAAAAATTCAATTATTCAAATTAATACCTAAAATATAAATAATAAAGCTATGACAACTAAAATTGGAGAAAAATAGTATATAATATAATGTGGTTGCCTATTAGTCAGCCAAGATAGGTGGTTGGAGATCTTAAAAGTTTTTTGGT